ATCCCAGCTACTTGGAAGGCTGAGGCAGGAGAATTGCCTGAACCCGGGTGGTGGAGGTTGCAGTGAGCCGAGACCATGCCATTGCACTCTAGCCTGGATGACAGAGCAAGACTCCGTCTCAAAAAAAAAAAAAAAGAAAAAAAAGGAAGGAAGGGAGGGAGGGAGGGAAGGCAGGAAGGAAGGGAGGGAGGGAAGGCAGGAAGGAAGGGAGGGAGGGAAGGAAGGAGGGAGCCAGACAGCCTTTACGTACTATTATATGGAGTCTGAAAAACAAAAAAATGAAACGAAAACAAGAAAAGGAGTCTAAATTTAGACTTAAAGGCAACAAGGAATCAGTGATGTTAAAAAAAAATGGGAAAATTAAATTACTTACATGTGTTTAGAAAAATCATGGCTTGTTCGTATTGTCTTTGAGTAAAAAATAGAATATATGAATAAGAGGGCTTTTTTGGTATGAATTTACTAGAAAGGACAAAAGAGGAAAAAGAGAGAATTAGCATAGTACTAATTTTATTAAGTTTGTACTACTCAGAACATCTAAGTGGTCTAGTAATGCAGAGGGCTATGTGGGTGGAGCTTGTGAGAGAATTAGGTTAAGGATGATTTGGAAGTCATAAGCATGTAAAAAACAGTGAAAGGTATAGAAGCAGATGAAATCTCCAGGACAGTTTACAAAGTAAGGTAATACAGATCCCTAGAAAACACAAATATTTAAGAAAAAGAAGAAACATTTAAAAAGCGGATCATGCCATAAAAAGAAAACCATTCCTCAAAATGTTAAATGTAGAATTATGTGATGACTTAGTAATTCCACTCCTAGCTACAAAACCAAAAGAATTTAAAACAGGGAGTCAAACAGATATTTGTACACCAATGTTCATAGCAGTATTATTTATAATAGCCAAAAGGTAAATACAACCCGTGTGTCCATCAAGAGATGAATGAATAAGCAAAATATAGCACAGCTATACAATGGACTATTATTTAGCCATAAAAAGTAATGGAACTCTGATGTATTATATAACATGGCTGAATCTTGAAAACATTATGCTAAGTAAAATAAACCAGACATAAGAGAATCAGTATTTTATGATTCCACTTATATGATGCATCTAGAACAGGCAAATAGAGGTAGAAACTAGAATAGAGATTACAAAGTACTAGGAGAAGGGGGAAAGAAGGAGTTGTTTAATGAATGCAGAGTTTGTATTTGGGGTGATAAAGTTTGAAAACAGTAGTGATGGCTGCACAACACTGTGAATGTACTTAATGCCACTGAATTGTTCACTTAAAAATGGTTAACATGATAAATTTTATATCTATTCTAACACAATTTAAAAATATATATATATATTTTCCACTTAAGCCAATGGTAGAGTCAACAGTATCAGAGTCTGCCGCAAGACTGGTCAACATAAGGCCTGAGAACTAGGCATGGGCCTTAATGTGATGGTGGCATGGTCAAAGTAATGGCTAAATTATACATAGCAGGTAGAAGAATAAAAGGAAGAACACCATAAGTATTTGGACATCTGAATGGATTTACATTTTAGACAGTGCCTAATTACAGGATTTAGAGGCACAGATAAAACTGACAAAGGGTCAAGATGTAATCCAAATGAATCACCCAGGCCCTACCTTTGACCCTTTCAGGTGATACTGGTAGCCCAAAGAAGGTGAAATGCTGTTCATAAGTCTTGTAAGTAAAGCAGGTAGAAAAAATAATACGGTAAGCCTGATTTGCATCTGGCTTTAAGGGAGTATCAGGGTGTGGTTTCCTTTCCCTCAGATATACTGGAGACTGAAAGTCTCCTTATTCTCCTGGCCTAGAATCGGTGATAGTGGATCTCTGGAGGTTAATTCATTGATTCCCCAAATAACACTGTCACAAAACTACTGGTAGAATATCAGCTACTGAGTCCTGCCTGGTATGGGATAGAGTGCAGTATGACTAGAACTATTCTTGGAAATAGGGTTGCTCCTGCTCCAAAATGATAATCAGGCACCTTATTTTTTCTTTTTTGAGACAGAGACTTGCTCTGTCACCCAGGCTGGAATCCAGTGGTGCAGTCATGGCTCACTGCAGTGTGGAACTCCTGGGCTCAAGTAATTCTCCAGGCATGCACCGCCATGCCCAGCTAATTTTTAAAAAATTCTTATTTTGTAGAGGTAGGGTCTCGTTGTATTACCCAGGCTGGTCTCAAACTCAAGTGATCTGACTCAGCCTCCCAAAGTACTGGAATTACAGGCATGAGCCATTAAATTATTTATGCAATATTTCCATTCTTAAAATTGGAAATAGGCTATTTCCAAATGTGTTGTAATACTAAATTAATGCCAAAAACTTTGAAGGAAGAACAACCACTATTCTGTTTGCAATAATCTAGTTAATATTGCCACATTTTTCTGGAACCACTTTACAAATTTAAAATCTTACTTGTGTTTATACCAAAATGTCGTTATTTATTAAAAAGCCATCAAAAATTACATCTAAGCCACATCATATATTAGTGCAGAAATTTAAGTAAGTTAGAACTGAAAATCTAAAAAGGGAAAAATGCCAACCATTAAACTGAGAAAAGCATTTAGAGAAAAAGAACAGTTTAGAATGTTTGAATAAATAAGCTCTAATTCCTCAGAAACTGGACTTAAAGGATGTTCTTCTTCCCAATTAAAAATTTAATTTCTTCCCTGTGTAAACTATCAAACTTTAAGTGTGTTTTGATGAGAAGTGTATACCAGCATCTTAGGTACAATCTCTAATTTTCCCTTTGAGTGTGAAGACCTTCAATAACATACACCTCAATAATATAACCACAGCCAGTGTATGTTATTAAAGGTATAACATGAATAGGTTTTATTAATTGTTATATTAATAGGTATAAAAGGTCTCTATGACTTCTCAATATACTCCTTCAGGTTTATGATCAAAATTTGTTCACTTCTTTTCTCTCTCTTATAATTTATTATTTTAAAATATTTGTATTAAAATATGTAAGAAATTTTAAAAAAAGCAAACGAAGTTTGGTATGACAACTGTCCTCAGTTCATCACATGTGGCATTTCACTTAACTCATCCATTAACTAAACATGCCTCTTCTGACCTATATGGCAGGATGAATCTGGAGCCAAGTAACTCTGGGTTCAAACCTAACTCTACTTTTTATTAATTATGTGGCAAAGGCAAATGTGTTAATCTCCTTGAGATGCATCTCTTACAAAATGAGAACAATACCTGCCTTTTTGCTGGGATGATTAAGATATTTTATATACAACATCTTACTCAAAGTAGGGGAGATGTTTAACACAATTATACAACATTGTATGAATACAATGAGCTCTTTATTACCACAAGTGAAAAAAAATGAGAAGAAAAAATTGTTTATGACTAAGTACGAAACAAATGAAAAATTCAGCATCACTCTAAGAACAGCTGGAAACATGGCTGGGCACAGTGGTTCATGACTGTAATCTCAGCTCTTTGGGGGGCCGAGGTAGGCATATTGTTTGAGCTCAGGAGTTTGAGACCAGTCTGGCCAACATGGTGAAACCCCATCTCTACTAAAATATAAAAATTAGCTGGGTGTGGTGGCATGCACCTGTAATCCCAGCTACTTGGGAGGCTGATTCATGAGCATCCCTTGAGCCTAGGAAGCAGAGGGTGTGGTGAGCTGAGATTATGCTACTCTAGGCTGGATGACAGAGGAAAACTCTGTCTCAAAAAAGAAAGAAAGAACATTTTAAACAATGCGCGGACAGTACTGTAAGCAGGCTTTGGAATACAAAAACAAAGCCAAGCTTCAATGAAAGCACTTCCAATTAGTACAAACAAATCAATACTCACTTTAAAAGCAGCAGAAAAAAATTGTTTCTTCACAGTGGATTAAATGTCAAGAAATCACAAGCAAAAATGTTAAGCACTGAGTGAAAAAAGAAGTTTCTGAAAATATTTCATTATACGCAAAATATTTTACTATCTTCAATTACACAAATTCAAACTAAAAATACTTGAGTACCAGCTGAGCACAGTAGCTTAAGCCTGTAATCCCAACACTTTGGGAGGCCGAGGCAGGCAGATCACGAGGTCAGGAGTTTGAGACCAGCCTGGCCAGTATGGTGAAACCCCATCTCTACTAAAAATACAAAAACTAGCCAGACGTGGTGACACACACTGGTAATCACAGCTGCTCAGGAGGCTGAGGCAGGAGAATTGCTTGAATCTGAGAGGTGGAGGCTGTAGTGAGCTGAGATTGAGCCACTGCATTCCAGCCTGGGTAACAGAGCAAAACTCCCTCTGGTTGTTGAGGGGGAACCTAAGCACTAACAAATTAATGACTCCTGTCAGCAGGTGGCTCCAGTGACAAGGGAATAGCAATATCAAACACTACAGCAAAATACAGATGGTAAAAAAATGTATTGATTCTCAGAAATTTGGAGTCAAAAAGTCATGTCAATACTTCAATCCAATAATAGTATTAGTGGTAATGCTATTTTTTTTTTTGAGATGGGAGTCTTGCTTGGTCACCCAGGCTGTGGTGCAGTGGCACCATCTCGGCTCAGGGCATCCTCTGCTGCCCTGGTTCAAGTGATTCCCCTGCCTCAGCCTCCTCAGCAGCTGGGACTATAGGCACACGCCATCATGCCCAGCTAATTTTTTTTTTTTTTTTTGTATTTTAGTAGAGACAGAATTTCACCATATTGGCCAGGATGATCTCAATCTCATGATCTCATGATCTGACCCCCTTGGCCTCCCAAAGTGCTGGGATTACAGGCGTGAGCCACCATACCTGGCCGGCAATACTATTTAAAAGGAAAACAAAGTTAACAATCATGTTGATGTCTGAGAAAGAAAGGTAAATTTGCTTTTTTTCACTTTAAAAAGTGGCTAGGAAAGAAGAAACAATATTTTCCACTCACACCTTTTCCTACTTTTCAGCTCCAGAAAGTTTTTTTTTTGTTTGTTTGTTTTTTTTGCTTATGTAACCGATTTAAATACTTACTCTGAACCTGCAGCCATTTCCAAGTATGACGTCTCTGCTGTATCAACCCCCAGTGGGATCACTATGCTCATGACGTTCGCCTCTGGTAAATTCGATTACTATGGAGTCCTATGCATTGGTATCCAAAACACTGGGGCATGCCAGCCACAGTGCTCATTGCAAACATCTAAGTGCATCCACAAACCCTGTCAAAAGAAATGGAAACAAAAAAGCAACAGTCACCCTATAACAGTATGTAAAATAACATGAAGAAAACATTCTTTATTAAAATCTCAATATACACTGAAATGTGCTCCGAGTCTCTTTCATTAATTTTTCTGCAATTCAGTTATGTGATCATGATCAAAAGAAAAGTTTCTAAATCACAATCTTTCTGACGGTATGAATTCAGGATGCAACAAGATTACTAAGACATATTTAGTGAAGAACCAAAAATTATTCATTTTAAAGGATAAAACATAGTTTCTTATACTGTTAGTATGCAAAAATAAATCAACTTTGTTCAGTGAGTAATCTAACAATATACTAACAAATACTGAGTACTTACTATGGACTAGACACCATAATCAGCTTTTTACATGAATGGTCTATTTAATCCTCCTAATTCTCAGGTAGGTATCTCCATTTTACCACTGAGGAAAAGAAAACCAAAACAGACTAATACTGAAAAGCATTGTGTAATTGTCTGTAAGTGTATTTTTTATATTATAATAATGAGCAATATGGTAGCTCTCCCCCAGCTACACACAATTTCAAAATAGCTTAATCAAGGTCACTCCACTTAAGAGATGAAACCAGGATTTGAACCAATTCTACTCTACTGTTTGTATCTGTATATATGGGAAACTATTTTATTTGTAATACATTAAATTATTGTACAGTAGTTGTCATTTTCTACAGCAGGTTAACTCTAGGTATACTGCTGAGGGAGTTCTCTACTTCTTCCATTAATACTGTTCAGTTAAACAGTTAATACTCCCTAATACGATCAGTAGAAAAAACTAATGAAGTTTTTTTAAAAAACAAATTTATAATAGCAACTAAAAGATACTTACCTTCAACATCAATTTTTCTTATCTAAATTCACTACATAACAGTGGCTACAGGTATGTTTTTAAAATATCTACTCAGTCTTTTCAAAAATGATACAGGTGCAACTCAGAAACAAAACCGATATAGATAACCCCGTAAATTTGAAAACAGCAACAGTCATTATCCTTGCCTCTAATGTTATACCTGAAATAGTGAAAAGCAGTGTGCAACTGTCTATTATTGCATATATTTGCATTATAATAATTAGTAATGTGGTAGCTCTCCCCCCATTACACAGTTTAAAAGTAAAAGGCTAGTATTCTTAGAGAATTCAAACCACTATTAACACGTTATTTACTCACTTTGGTAATTTTCCCTCACAAGGTATGAGCTCACTATCTGTATAATCTGTGAAACAGGAATTAACCTGAGTAGATATTCTCAAGTGTAATGGAAAATTATAGGCAGATATAAGAATTGCTACTTGAAGAAACACTGTTTTTTATGTTAGACTCACAAGAAGTCTTGTATTTTAGATATATCTTATATTTAGTGGTACACTTATTTACCAGAGCAGATACTGAAAGGAAATCAAGTCATTATTAATGTATTTTAAGTAACTGAGTGATATTTCTAATCTAAAATAATCTACTTAGGTATTTATTTACTAGTATGTCCCTTTTTATATAAATATGCAATCTTCAATAAATACCACATTTGGGCTGTTTCAGTAAAAAGCTTGCCATAAACCTCCTTCAGACAATGACTTATGTTTGTGCTATTGCTGCTTTTCTCCCAAATGCTGCACAGTGCCTGGAACATAACGGCATTCTACAAATGACTGGTGAATGCATTAGAGAACTTGAGAAGAAACTGCAGCTCTGGCTTAATTAATCAAATGAACTATCACCTTGTATAATCAAGTATTGTTAAAAACAACTACATGATATCCCCATAACCGCATATCCCTAAAAATACAGAAGCTCACACTCAGGACAAAGATACGTCATCACATCTGAAACAGAACTGCAGACTCTGAATCTGATTCAATAGGAAGAGTAGATTTTAGTAATTTACTCACAAGAGGTCAGAAGACAAGAGGTCATATGTACTAAGATATTAAGAAGGCAAGTATTTCACCGTTTTCATCAATATCAAAAATCTTAAAATGAGAAAACTCACACTGCTTCAAAATCTTGTTGATATTTAATAAAATGATGACTCTGCTACGGTCAAATCATAGTTTGTTTTAAGAAGGGAAAGTCAATGTAGTAAGCAGAAAAGACGTGACCTTTAACAGGGTGAGCTTAAAAAGCAATCATAAATGGGCTGAGTGTGGTGGCTTAGGTGGATGGATCACGAGGTCAGGAGATCCAGACCATCCTGGCCAATAGGGTGAAACCTTGTCTCTACTAAAAATACAAAAATTAATTGGAAGTGGTGACATGTGCCTGTAATCCCAGCTACTCCGGAGGCTGAGGCAGGAGAATTGCTTGAACTAGGGAGTCGGAGGTTGCAGTGAGCTGAGATTGTGCCACCACACTCCAGCCTGGCGAAGAGTGAGAGTCCACCTTTTTAACAAAACCTGAACAATTAACACAAGGTTTCACAACTTATATGTGAATCAAAAAAAACCTGGTTATCCAATTGACAAATAAAATATGTACAAAATACAATGAGAATAAATGGCAGCCATTGAAGAAATAATATAAAAGGAAATACCATGAGATGTCTGGTAAATCTGAGGTCCAAGAAAGAATAAATGTCTTCACAAAACCTGCTTATCCAGAATAGACCTAGAAACCAAGTGAACATAGGAGTTTTGAGCTATTTTTAAATGGCATAAAATTACAGTTATTTCTAACACGGTACCTAAAACCAAAGCAACTCACACAAAGCAGCCAATTCTTAAAAGGATACATTTATTCTTCCCTTTTTACACAAAACACAAGTAAAGGCAACAATCAAAGCTAAATACTAAATCAAACTGGAAAAAAAACCCCACTGGGACACAATATTAAATTTAATATTTTAAAAATTTAAAAACTTAAAAAAATACTAAATTTTAATACAATATTAAAAACAGATGTAGCAAAGCAAGGCAACAATACAAAAACAATAAAAACAAAACTCTAAAGTAGAAAAAATGAAGTAAAAAGCAAAAAAAAGGAATTAAAGAAGAAAACAGTTTATCAGAAAAACTGTAAGACTAAATGAAGCTGTCTTTAAGACCATGTTAAAATAAACAGAAAACAGGCTGGGTGCAGTGGCTAATGCCTGTAATCCCGACACTCTGGGAAGCTGAGGGAGGCAGACCACTTGAGACCAGGAGTTCAAGTGAGACTTCATCCCTACAAAAAAATTTTAAAAATACAAAAATTACAAAAATTAGCTGGATTAGGTGATGTACACCTGTAGTCTCAGCTACTCAGGAGGCTGAGATGGGAGGATTGTTTGAGCCCAGAAAGTCAAGGCTGCAGTGAGCCATGATTGCACCACTGCACTCCAGCCTGAGTGACACAGGAAGACTGTGTCTTTAAAAAAAAAAAAAAGACACAAAACAAAAATTAACACCTTAAAGATTAATATGATATCCAAAGGCAGAATGAATGAAAATATGAGGAAGAATATTTTTCTAAAATTACAAATATAAGAGCCTAATATAACAATCTCTTTGAGGAAAGAGCCATTTACTATATTTCTGTCCTTTATAAGCACCTAGCACAGTGCTCAATAGATTTTCAATTAAATTAATGTATATATTTTGGATGTGTATCACTAAAGAGACTAAGCAGGTAAATTTTTTGCTTCATTACTAATGGAAATAAAGAAAGAAACTTGAAAGAAATTTTGAGGAGATACGTAACTGAGATTTCCTTATAAATTGGAAATTAAACTGCCCTTATTATTCATTTAAATTTTTTTAATTTATAGCAGTTGATTAAGGTAAAATAAAAAGAATACTAGTAAATTAAGATCCATTTCAAGTTACTATCTATGAATGCTTGGGCAAGTCTTTTCACTGCTCTCACTTTCAACTATAAATGGAGGGTGATTAGGCTGACAATTTTACAATCACAAGTACATTAACAGATTATTCCAAGTAATCAAAACAACAGAATTTTAGATTCTAAAAAGCTATAAAAGATAAATTTGATAATAGAATGAATATGTATTTCTATAATTGAGCTCATGTTAGTATCAGATAGTGCCCCACAAACACTTATCTGATACTCAAACTTCCCTAACTAGTGGTTATAATAATAATGATGGCAAATACTGAGTGCTTACAAAGCTTAATCTCCACAATAAGTTTACGGTATAGGTACATTTATTATCCCCATTTTACAATAAGGTAGCAAGGTTAAACTTGTCCAAAGTTCATAACAAATAAATAGCCAAATCAAGATCTGAACCATTGTGGTCTGATTCCAGAGCTTACACATTAGTTAGCCTGAAATTTCAAAATGCCAGATGGCCAGGAGCTATGTATGGCTCACACATGTAATCCCAGCACTGTGGGAGGCCCAGGCAGGCAGATCACCTGAGGTCAGGAGTTCAAGACCAGCCAGCTAACATGGTGAAACCCGGCCTCTACTAAAAATACAAAAATGAGCTGGGCATGATGAGGTACAACTGTAATCCCAGCTATTTGGGAGGCTGAGGCATGAGAATTACTTGTATCCAGGAGGGAGAGGTTGCAGTGAGCCAAGATAGTGCCAATGTACACCAGCCTGGGTAACAGACTCAAGTCTGAAAACAACAACAATCCCCCCCAAAAAAACAAAATAAAACTGCCAGATGATAGGTAAAATAACCTAGATTTTCCAATTAAGAAAGAAAAAATTGACAGTTGACAGCTGCCCCTCTCAAAAAGGGAAATTAAATACTTAACTGTCTCACTCCAGAATATCTGGATTACATTTCCTCTGATCATTAAATGAAAGCACACTAACAAAATCCACCTTGCTCCTCACCCAAACGTGATCTAGTTAACAAACTTACATTTAATCTGTAACAATGCATTAAAACACCACGAGTGTTGAAAATACAGTCTCACAAAGTCTAAAATTTGTGTTTATGACCAGATGCGGTGGCTCATGCCTGTAATCCCAGCGCTTTGGGAGGCCAAGGTGGGTGTGGATCATCTGAG